AAAGTGCCTTGAGATGATGTGTGTTATGAAATGGCGCTATAGAAATAAAGTGAATTGAAGTAATTCCCTAAAAACTATTGTTATGCTGCATTCAGACCGAGCAGATGCACAGTGTTCACACCCTGGACCACGTCATCGATTAGGAGGCGTTTTAGCTGCAGGAAGCCGACACCCCGCCCACATGAAAACCTCAGCAAATAGACTGAATGGTTAGAGCTTCATTACTGCAGGTTTGACATGTTAATATGACCATTTGTAAAATAAAAAACAAAAACAAAGATAATGCGTGCTACTGTTGTTTCAAAGATATTATGGATTATTTTGTAGGTCATCCAGAGGTCAACTACCCCCCACCCATTAAGCTCAGAATTTAATTAAAATTATCTACTTTTTCAGTGCTAATAAAAAAGTGGATAAAAGTATAATTTAAGCTGATTTAATTTTTAAGATGGAATCCTTTTTAGTCTCTGTCGATGATGTCACCATCCCAGCAGATGTTAGCGCTGCTGTTTCAGAATAGGAAGTGATTGCATAACGTCACATGTCATTCTTGTGCTGGCACTGAATATAACTTTGGGCCTGTTTACCTTCTTTAGTGGCAGGAATGATTGTTTCAAAAAATTTTTGTAGTTTATCCGCCTCCCATTTCTTCGGTCTGGGCTACTTTCACACTGCAGGCCTTAATGCTTAATTCCGATTTTTGTGTGAAATTCTATTTTTTTTTTTTGGTTTGTAGTTCACATTTCCAAATATATGCAAGCTTTAAAAGAACTCCTGTTGGAACTGCATTCAATTTAATTCAATTAAATTCAGTTTATTTCTATAGCGCCAATTCACAACACATGTCATCTCAAGGCACTTTACAGTTCAACAGATCAAACAGTCAAAGTGATTCAAAGTTTTCTGTCTAAGGAAAACCAGCTGATTGCATTGACTCGAAGCCAATCCCTCACACTAAGCATGCTTGTAGCGACAGTGGAGAGGAAAAACTCCCTTTGAACAGGAAGAAATCTCCAGCAGAACCAGGCTCATCTGCTGAGGCCGACTGGGGTTCAAGGAGACAATTCATACAACGCAAGTGAGGTAATGGCGACACAGGCCAGCGTGCTCTGTGTTTACGGAAGTAAACATGGATGGTAGTCCATATAGTTCATATAGCGATCTTTCCCAACCTTAAAGACACAATCTTTTCAATATGGTCAAACATAAATACTAATCTTTGCATTATCATCCGCCATGGTTTTTGTTTTTTTTCTTGCCGCTTCTGCATAGCAAGACGCAGAATAGTGACTTTTGTCGAGTATTAATGGTGTACAGGTCGGAAGAATGCAACCTGGCTGTTCAGACACAGGTTGCATTTGAAAATATAAGATTCATATTGGATTCAGGATCACATAGCCATGTGGCCTGGGTCACATTTGGCAAAATCGGACAAATGTGTTGTTGGCTGCCATGAAAAGATCAGATCCAGGTCACATATGGGCAAAGAAATTGGATTTGGGTCACTTCAGGCTGCTGTGTGAAGGTAGCCTTGGACCTGGCGTTACCCTAGCAACCCCCTGGCATTTCCTGTCAAGATCCTGCTGTCACATTTCACAAACTTAACATCAGGGACCGCTGCTAGATTGTTCTTGACTAACAACTTTTAAATTGCCTTAGCGAGACCACCATTTTTTGGAAAAGTCTTGGAAGTGCTGGAAAATAGTCCACTTTGGTTCATCCAGATCTGTGTCTGGATGACGGATGGATTCTGTGATACTTCCCTGTAAATCTCCCTGGGCAGAGAGCACTGATGCTGGGCAGTGACAGACAGGTCTGTGCTGGAGGTAAGTGAGGATGATGAACAGTCCTTCTTGGGCTACATTAAAACATTTTTTTTTTAAAGCCACCGAAAATGCCTCTTCAGAGCATTCCTTATTTCATTCTTTGTTAACATTATTTCCTCTACTGTATCTTCCGTTTTAACAGAAAAAATCTTTGCATAAGCTTGACCTACGTCAAACCTAAAACCTATCCTTGATTGGTTTTGTCGACGCTGTTTCATAGAAAGGCTCAGATTTCTCAACTTCAGCGATCACGGTTCTGCTCTCTCTTTGTTTGACTGTAGAAGCACGAGGTGAGAGCAGTGATAGCTCTTACCACGTGGGATCCACCCCTGGCTGCTTCACCGCCCCTCCCCACGCAGTTTACATAGGGATACTTTGTAAATCCACCGCCCTCACTGCAGACACCGCGTTTGGTCTAAATCTTGTCTGCACTTTAAGGGGGACTGTTGCTCCAAGTGGTGAAGATGCCTTCATGGAGGGCATCCACTGTCTGGAACTGCTCTCGATTTTGTAACCCCGCCATCCATTCAACCCTAAATGTTCTTAATTTGGTTTAGCTCAGGGGAATTCTGAGATTGGCCCAAAAGAATGATGATTTTTCTCTGTAAGAAGTTCTTTGTAAGGCTGTGAATTTGCACAGACAATGGCCTTCCATCATGAGGGACACCCCCTGAAATATCTCCTCACAGATAGCTGCTGTTTGATGGTTCTGCACAGCATGGAGCTCCATTACTAAATTGAGAGAATAAGCTGGTGGCCCTTTTACTGTGCTGTGTTGAAAACATCTCAGGTTCTCATTCCAGTAACGCTGGAAGCCATCAAGCTTCCTTTTTTTCCTCATCAGAGAATAAAACTTTCTTCCCCCTTTTAGTGTCCGGTATTTGGTGCTTTCCTGCAAACTCCAAACAGACAGTTAGGTGGCGTTGAAGGAGGTGAGGCAACTTGGGAACTATTTTGTTCTCTCTCGGATGCTGTCTGATTTTATGGGCCTGCGGTTGGCAGCAGTGACAGGCTTAATTTGGGCCGAGGATAGTCTGGTGTCTTGATGGACTTGAACCTTCCTGCTCAGAATGGGTGCAACTGTTGGGGGTCTGTTATCTGTTATTTTTTTTTTTTTTTTGCTTCATGTCTCCCAGGTCTCATTTCGTCCAACCAGAGCATCCAAGGCTCGCTGTCTGAAGTTCAACAACCGAATCGTGTTCAGAGAAAAAGCTTTCTGGCCTTTGCCATCTGGAGGTCATAAATTAGAGAGGCTCAGTTTATCCTGATCTATCTCTATAGTTATGCTGCTATAGGCTTAGACTGCTGGAGGACATAGGGACCTCTATTTCATCATTCAGAATTATCCCCAAAAAGTATCAGCACTGATGTCAGAAAATAATCAGTATCTACATCTGCCCCCAAAAATAGAAACATATTAATAGAGAAATAAAAAAATACACATTTTAAAAACTGTTGCAGTACAAAAAGGTCACGGTAAGTATGAAAGGGTCCTAAAATGTGTCTTACCACTCCCACAGAGAAGTAATTGTTGATAATACTGTAAGGAACAGGGTCTCCCTTCTCCTCCTTGTCATCAGGAACGATGTCAATATTCCAGCGGTCCAACACCACTTCTATGCTGTGTTCAATGTCCCGCAGGACTTTCAGCAAGCTGCCCCCTTCATAGCCTGCCAGAGACAGACACAGAGGACAAAGAAAGAAAAGGAAGACATGCTCTTCAATAATAGTTACTATTTTTTTAAATACCACTTATATACAGTACGCAGAATGTCTTTCTTTTTATGTTATGTTGAAAGTAGTCCATATGTTTCCCTTTTGTAGCATTAAGGTGTGAGTACACTTGGCAAATTTGACACTAATCATATTGAGGGAGTAAAAAAAGCTTGCTTCTGAAATGAGACATTTAAATTTCACACGTCACCAGAATGTACAATTTTTCCTGCCATTTGGTGCTTTTGCTTCCAGAAACTGGCAGAGATGGCAAAAGTCCTCACTTTCCGTACTTGTG